CTGCTGTTGCTGCTGCTGCTACTACTACTACTACTACTGCTGCTACTACTACTAATATACAGATGACAAATTGTTATACAGCGCTAAACGAATGTTTTCGTGTCTAAATCTACCACTACTCGCCAAGATTGTTATTTTACCTCAAATTTTCTACATTTTATATCTATCATTGACCTAAACCAAGCCTTGCTTTGAACTGTTGTGAATGCAACCAACTTATATTTCGCTCGCTCATGTGACCTTATGCAGTTGCGAGCGCCGTAAAACTCTTACTAAACTAAACAAAAAGAAGGAACGGTGTTCACCCTACACAGCTTTCTTCTGTAAACAACATGTCCATGTATTATGATGTGCCCCCCCCCCCCTCCTCCAGGGTAGTTGTCTTTAGGCCATTCCCAAAGTGGGGATATTATTATGTTCCTTTGCCCAATAGAATTGTAAATGGGCTGATTATTATTATCAACGTCATGCTCATACTGTGCGGGAACAACATTGGGGAAACTGCTGCTTTTTCTTTCCTCATCCTTACTATCGGCTTTTTCCTTTACTTCTTTTGTATATTTGTCACTCTCTTGTGAACTGCTATTTCCGGAGTGCCTTGATAGTTGAAACAGACTTTGTGCTGTTGGAGCTAGATCTAGAGAGGCGAGCAGAGTGAGCCTGACTCCCCGTTTGTACTTCTCAGTTGACATTAATCCCTTGGCGCTCCCATGACTCAATGCAGTTGCGAGCGCTGTAAAACCTTGCTAAAACTAAAACAACTCACCTCACAGAGTAAGCTCGTCTCTTCACAATAGGCAATCGGCAGGGTTCATTTCTTGTCAGATTTGTCGCAACGCCATTGACAACAATGCTTGCTTGTGCAGGTTCTGTAGATGGTGAAGGAATGTGTGTGTGTGTGAGAGAGAGAGAGAGAGAGAGAGAGAGAGAGAGAGAGAGAGAGAGACATACACGTGATCTCTCTAGCGTTCCCCAACGTGCACACCCCTCGTATCATAATGATTTTTCGCACGTGTGATTTCCAAAAGAAAAGCAAAAAAAAAAAAGGAGAATAAGCCTATGCTATCCCGGTGAATGTATCGTGTGAATTCCAAAAGAAAAGCTAAAAAAAAAAAAAAGAAGAAAATATATGTATATATAATCCTTAGCTGGCCTGGTGAATGCATCGTGTGAATTCCAAAAGAAAAGCTAAAATAACACACACAAAAACACAATACTCCTAAACTGGCCTGGTGAATGTATCGTGTGTGAAATAGTGTGGAGAATGTATTTATAATCAGTTTCAATAATAAGCCAAGGGCGTCACGTTCCCTTTGCTGTTGTTGTGGCTCATAGACCCCCCTCCCCCCTCCCCTCTCTCCCCAGCCGGTGGTAACGTGGCACTAATTCGAGAAAATTATAATATTATCTCCGTTCTTAATTGTTTTGTTAATTTATTTCATTTCAAACGTGTTGCCATGCTGTGGGTGGTTGACGGGTTCTCTGGTGTGGTGTGCTTCTTCTTTCCTGTCAAACGTCTTTCCTCTTTATCTCCCCTCCTTCTGTTTTGTGTTTGTTACTCTCTTGTAACACCTCTAAATCTTCGGCACTTATATGACCTTATTGTGTTGCAAATGCCGTAAAACTCTTACTAAAACTAAGACCACTAGCCGGGTGGTAACGTGGCACTAATACGAGGAAATTTTATTATCTCTGTTCTTAATTGTTTGTTAATTTATTTTCTCTCTCTCTCTCTCTCTCTCTCTCTCTCTCTCTCTCCCCTCTCTCTTTCGGAGTGTATTGATCAGGCCCGTACAGAGTAACCACAAGAACAGCAGATGTTCAATAATTCAATCGCTACTTTTTTCTTCTTCTTCTGTTCGTTTCTCTTTTAAAAAAAATCTTTGTTGTGTCTGTATTCAAATCCATCAGTCATATTGCTTCCCCGTCTTTCTCTGCTGGCTGCTGAAACCAACGCCCCTTCCTGGTTGAAGGCCCTAGTTTCCGTTATTCTTTTTCGTTCTTTCTTTGTGATCATTTATATCGATAATATCACACTGTTTCTTCGTGGGTTTTTGGCGGGTGCTCTGGTGTCGTTTGCTTCTTCTTTCCTATCAAACATCTATCGTCCTTATCTCCCCTTCTTTTTTGTGTTGGTTACTCTCTTGTAACACCTCGAATCTTCTGGTGCTCATATATTATGACCGTATGCAGTTGCGAGCACCGTAAAACCTCTACTTAAACTGAATTAAACCATCAGTCATATTACTCCCCCGTCTTTCTATGCTGGCGGCTGAAACAAACGCCCCTTCCTGGTTGAAGGCCCTAGTTTCCATTTATTCTGATCGGTTCTTTCTTTGTGACCACTTATATCAATAATATCACACTGTTTCTTCGTTCTTATTCTTTTCTTATTTATGTTTGGTTTTGTAAAAATTCTCTCTGTCTCTCTCGGCTCTCTCTCTCTCACACACACACTCTCTCCCACCCTCTCTCTCTCTCTCTGTGCCTCTCTTGTCCTTCTTTCTCTTTCCTCTATCCCAACACTCTCTCCT